AAACTGTTGTTCTTCATGTGTTCTTATGCTATTATTATACCGGTATATCTAGTACTAACAATAAAGGAAGAGGAAAACAGCAACTGAATCTGAAACCCTTTTTTAAGTGTACCCAAAGAAGAGACAGAGTTTCGGATACTAACTGTCTGTCGGTCACATCTTAAATTCAGAAACTATAATATTTGGAAACATGTTGCTTGGCAATAGTCAAATGTAAGATTTTACCTGTTTGGAAGTTTGACTATCCATGAATTTTAGTTATAAATCGAGTAGCAAATAAATGCCTTCCATTGATTGCCCTATTTCAATGTCACATTTCCAGCATTATATTTCCTGGTGCTTTCTTTATATAATCCCATTTTGTGGTCACCAAAAGTCGAATGCAAAATTTACAGCGTGTATCTTAAAATTGCATCCGTCTTGTTTTGTGAAGTCAATGTGACTCTGTTTACTGTGTTCTCCAATCGTGGTCCATTCCTCGCTACAATTGCCGTAAAAAGTGTATCTACATGACATGTACATGCTTAACAATTTGAAAGAAAAATTATAAATATGGAGAGAATGAGCTTGATAAACATGGAAGTTTGAGTAGTTTATTTCAAACGTGCTGGGATCAAATGTTTGTGAAGTTTTGGTTACAGTTTACTATAATGGATGATGATATTCAATAATTCAAGCAAATTTTCACTGTATATTCAAAAACATTTGATTACTATTTCCAAAAGTCTTCGAAACCTTTTAATCATTTGGAAAACCGTATTTTGGATGAAAGAAATTCTATTCAAGAAATTCATTCCAATGAACTTGGATTTTTAAACTTTTTACCAGTGTGTTGCAAATAATTATATAATAAATGAGATTTTAAATCGACAAATCAATAATATGAAATGTTAAACGAAATGTCACCTTTTGCATTTTCAAACTGTCTCCTAATGCAAAAGTGTAAGAGCGTTTTCAATTGATATTTTCGAAATACCCCCCCCCCCCCAACTTACAGCGAGGGACAAAAAGGATTACGATCAAAACGAATAGCGAAACCTTCGTACCAGGAGCCGAGAGTTTGAAGCCTTTTAGTAAAATTAGGAAACGGTTTACTTCAGTTAAGAAATAGAGAATCAGATCCTGGAAAAAGTCAACAAACTAAATCTAAAATGTTTATGCACATTTTTTTTTATTTTTACTTAAAACAATCACTTCACAAAATGTTTGTATATAAAACTCACCAATCAATGATAAAAAATGAATATATTCTCATGATATGTCACATCTACAAATGTATACACACCTTACATAATACAAGGCCCATAGGCCACAACGCTAACCTCATGGATCTTTCTTTTCCTGATAATAATGATAAATAAAACACATATTTAGAACTGTAAACTGAATGCCCATGATATTCAATTCACCGTTTCGGTATATTGAAATTCTATACTGTAGAAACATATGTTTGTGGAGTCTAATTTTCTTGAGATAAAAAAAAAACAACTATGGAATTGATTTTCTGGATGGTGACTTGACATTGCGTTTTAGATATATCGTAAACTCGTTGGTCTCTTCATACAGCTAAAAGAACGTACATTAACTCCTCACTAAGATTTTTGTAATTTAACAGTAAATTTCTGTTAGATCATGATATGCAAAACTATGTTCTCAAATTTGTAGTCCCATAAGGGGCGTGAAATTATCAAACTTGATAACAGGACTTCATGGGGATGCTTTCAAATAATGTTTGTCTGAAACATCCTAATAAACTAATCTTATTTTCGTCCTCGGGGTATATTTCAGAAATAAATATCATGTATACCTGGCACTTTCAAATTTATTTGAAAACAAAGCAAAACTTAATAGGCGTCTCACTACAACTTACAGTATGTTTAATTCCTCTAAAATAAAGAACAATTTTTAACCAGAAAATACGCTATTCTATTGATTATACATAGGCGTCGGAAGCAAATTAAAAGTGGGATGGCTAATTGAAATTTGGGGCTAAACCAATAAAAAAGGTAAACCCCAATATTCAATGTCTATATTATGTCTATCTTTGCAAAAAAAGTGTGTGTGTGTGTGGGGGGGGGGGGGGGGGCTAACCCCCACCCCCCGTTCCGACGCCTGCATGTATGTTATAGAAAAACCCTCTACACAGCTCACACAATAAAAATATGCCAGTTGACAAAGGGTTGTAGTGACTGTCACTGATTCATCACATAATTTTTGAAAAACACGAGGAAAAAAATCCACAAAGTATATAAGATTTTCTTCAGATTCTTTCTAAACAATATCGGTTAAAACGTCTGTTATAAAGTTCATTATATTTAAGGTTTTCTTAAAAAAATCTGATTTTCCAAAAATTATACTTCTTTGATTTCATGTTATAATCATTATTAGCTCATAAACACCCATTGCAATATTTCAAACAAATAAATCTCAAACGTACACGTGAGTTCATGTCAAACGTTGCATATTCTAATGTCACGTGATTTTAGCACCACCGGGTAGTACCATATCGCACAGGTATGTTTCTGACTTGCGCATTGCAGCTGAAAAACACTACTTTTTCGTATTTTTATAACATTACGTTGAATACTCGTCGATTTTAAAAATATGGAAACCAATCCAGTCATATAGCACCATAAACATTCAAGCATCTGATGAATGCTAATAATCTGTAAAAGTGAGCACAAAATGAAACGGCAATCTTGATCTTTATATAGTTGTGGCACTTCGTCACTGTGGCAGATCCAGGGTTGTCTGCCCTTGGGTTGAAAGGCCATTCATTTGTCATGAAGTAAACATTTCATTTACTAAAACAGAAATGCAATATTGAAAATTCAGTATATTTAATTTTACTTGTTGATTATCGATAAATATAGTGTTTCACAAATGAAAGTAATTTGAAATGTGCAATTATAATTACTAGTATATCGTATAAGCAGAATTTTTAGCGAGGATTTCATTTTGGCACTAGGAGCGAGGGTGCTGAGATCGCTAAAATTGCACATCGCTAAAAATCATTCAGCGGGTGGTGGGGGGGGGGGGGGTAAGTCTTTCTTGCGAATTAGTGTCAAATTGCTAAAAGTTCTTCTTTGTTAAAAATATAAACTGACCATAATTACTTTTAAAGAATCTCGCTGAAAATTCAATCTATACGGTACTTTCTCTCTAATAATACACAAAATATAATATATATGAATGTTCTTATTCATATATGTATCCCTTAATGAAGAACATCTTTCTTACCTTTGTAATTAAAATGTTGTTCTATCGTACAAATGTCAGTCTAAAATAAAACAATATTGTATTTTATTTTAGCAAACATCTACCCATATACTAAGGTTGGGGTAGCTATTTCATCAAATCTGCGAAAGAATCTATTAATTCCCAGGGGCTATTCTAAGAGGAATGGTTACTATCAAGTGTTTGATTTAAGAGACTTTAGATATTATCCATTAAGCGTTTTGTTCCACGAATGTATATTCATTTATTAGCATTTTATGAAGTGGGTAGCCTATTTAGTATTGCTTTGTAGAACTCTAGTGTTTGCCAAATCGCAGCCAATCGTTTTACAAGAAATCAAAATTGATGTCTGAAGATTAAATTAATTTTTATGTCCATTCATCGCCGAAGATTCAGAAGCATGTAATTTTTATCCTTTCCGCAAAGTCTTCAACCTTGGAAAAACTGGTTGAAGCAATCGCTCTAATGATTTACCATTCTAGTGTATGCCTAATGACAAGACACTTAGGTTATCAACATATTTGACCTAGGCTAGTGACCTTGAATTCTGACTCACTTTTGCAAAACTTTACCAAACTTTAACGTTGACCAAAACATTTGAACAGCTGGAACTAGGACTTTCCTACTTCACACATGTTTTCTTTGAAATAAGAACTTTTCTTTTCGTACCAATATTTTTGACATTTTAACATTGACCTTGAATTTTGACCTAATTTTGATTAAAAAAACATTGGACATGACCTTTTATATTTCACAGTTGTATGCCCTGTGGCAGACTACCCCTCAGGTACCAAGTTACCAACAATTTTAATGATTTGACCTTGGGATCTCCTACTATCAAAAACTTTAAATTTGGCAGTAAACTTTTAAACAGTTGGTGCTGGGGCTATAAATCATATTTCAAACTAATATTCCTTGTTACATGACCTTTCCTTATGTATTACCAGTTTTGAACCGTTGACCTAGGAATTTGCCAGTTTTCTATAATACATGATACTGTGTGTGTACTTTTTCTCCCAAGAATATAAATTAGAACGTATCAAACAAGGAAATGTTATAATTACTCTACACACAATTGCACAACAAATCAGTGATATATTAGCAATACTTTTTGTTTGACGTTGATGTTGGTTCGTATGACCCTTTGGTTGAGTGGCATGACAGATCTACTATTCGTGTGGATCCAACGCATTTGTGGTATTGTTTGGAAGAGTTTCATCTGAAATAAAGGGTTTTGTTGTAAAAATTGTAGTTTTTTACGAGTATTCTTGATTTTTATATTCTTAAATTTTTTTGATATTCTAGCTCGCTTAAATACTCCTAAATTCCTTGTGACAAAAAACTTCAACGTCCCAAAAAGATTTTTTTTTCGAATTCTCTCATTTTATGACGTCATTACTTTATAAAACGTGCTTTATGGACAATAAATCTGGATGGATATTTTTTGTCTTTTTATTTGAATTTTTTATTCAATATACATGTACGTTAAAACAGTACCTGGTCTGAAGAAAGGTATACAGGTTTATTATAAATTATCCATGTGACGCTTTCTTGACATCCGGGTATCGTTAATGATCCTTCATACGTCATATATTCCGTTGTATTGGGAATAAGGTCATTGAAGTTGAAGCTTATGTTGATTTTATTACCTGTAATATTGATACGGCAAAATGCAAAGGGTAATTATGTTTAAATTAATATAAAAAATGAATATCAATGCGTTGAATTTGTATTGATTGCTGAAATTACACATTCCCTTAAATCTGTATTTTAAACATCAAGTGCAATTTGATTTCAAATAGCAATATATAGCGTTATATTTGTCGTTCTGTATCATTGAGTTTTTTCATTTTTCTCATTTAATCAATAACAAATTGATGCAAAGAGTGATTTATACCTTTCATCGGTATATTCTTTAATCGCTTTGTTATCAGTTCTAGGGGATCATTAGATTCCAGGCCTATCTATGGAAAAAAAGAAATTTTAGTTTAAAATAAGAAAAGAAAGACTCTAGCTAAAGGATTTTGAGAACGTTCATTTGCATCTCGATGAAAAATCACAATGTTTTCGAAATTTTCATCTTTATATATTTCAAACAAGAGGCCCATGGGCCTTATAGGTCACCTGAGCATCATGCAACAGACTTTGGTTCATGTTTTAAACTAGACGTCATGGCATTCACAATTTTGAAAGAGGCACCATTGCTAATCATAACTATACACTTAACATGTTTAGTTTGGTTACTTAATACCCATAGACAGAGTAGGGGAACAAAAAAATGCACATTTCAACTAGTCAGTAATATTCAGCAATAATCAGTATAGTGCCACTACCACACACGAACCCCTGACCCTTGGTCCACACATTTCACAATTTTGGAAAAGGCACCCTTGCTTATCAAAAATATTTGATTAATACAAAGGAGAAGATTTCCATCAATTAATTCATTTTCAGTATATAAGTAGAGTCCCTCCCCCCCCCTATGGTACCCCTGACCCTGGGGCCATGAAATTCACAATTCAGGAAGAATGGCCCTTGCTCATCATAGCTATATGCAGGTAGTTTATCTGCTTAATACCCTGGAGCAGAGTTTTTCAAACAATTTCTGGGTTTTTTTTTTTATTCAACCAATAGAGCCCTGCCCTAACAACAGAACCCCTGACCTTGGTGTCATAAAATTCACAGAGATATTTTTCCACATCATAACTATATACTTAGTTGATTTATTTAATACCCAGGAACAGAGTAGAAGATTTTTAAAGATATAATGTATTTTCACTATATAATAAATAGAGCCCCACCCTAACACCAGAACCCCTGACCCTGGGGCCATAAAATTCACAATTTTGGAAGAAGCATTCTTGCTCATCATAACTATATACTTAGTTAATTCGTTGAATACCCAGCAGCAGAGAAGATTTTCAAACAATTTCTGCATTTTCTCTATATAATCAATAGAGCCCTTAACACTAGAACCCCTGACCCTTGGGCCATGAAATTCACAATTTTGGTAGAGGACTTAATGGTCATTACATTCATACTAACAGTTTGACTGCTTGATGTCCAGGAGTAAAGAAGAAGATTTTTAAAAATTGCACTAATTTTAGTGGTTTTGGCCCCACCCTCAGGCCCCAGGAGGGCAGGGACCAGGAAATTCACAATTTTTGCTCCCCTTCACCCATAGATGCTGTATACCAAATTTGGTTCAAATTGGTTCTGTGGTTTCAGAGAAGAAGCTGAAAATGTTCAAATGTTGACACAGGACGCACGACACACAACACACGACGACGGACGAAAACAGATAGCAATAGGTCACCTGAGTGACTCAGGTGACCTAATAAGCCGCCCTTGTAACATGTATACTGATTTCTTTCAGTCAAAAAATAGTAATATAGTAATTCAGTATTTTTCTTGGGTACCTCAATAAAAACAGCTATGGCGACTAGACCTCTGACTCCATTCATGGCTTGGTCTATCGTGCTGTAGACTTCAGAATTATATCCTATAATGTGCATCTGCAAAAATACATTGTGAAGACCAACTGTACATTTAAAAAATGACAATACGGTATTTATGATAGCAATGGCCTTGAAATATTTTCTTTGCAACATAAAAGTTAAGAAGAGTTAACGCAAAAATGATGACGTCACTAGATAAAAAGGTGGACATGTTGTAAGGAACTGAAATGGAATCTAATCCAATTTGTTCCATTTCTGAGAATAAAAAGTATCAATACTGGCTGTATTCCTTTCTTAAGAACATCTTAAAAAAGGAAATATTGAACAATATTCGTCAATATTCGTTTTTAAATAAAAGCTGCAATATTGAAAATTTTGCTGCTCTTCTTCCGTTTAAGCGTCCCCAATAGGTTTAACAAGTGGCATAAAGTAATCAAAGTGCAGAAAATTCTAGTCTTAAATTACAGTGGGGAAATATAATTTCAATAACCGGAGCTTTTACATCCATTTGAGAACCACATTTGGGATTTCTTTGGAAAATTCATAAAGTACTCTCAAGTTTTATTTAATAATTGCTGTAAAACTGCTTCTGCTATGCGTCAGAAATAAGTGACTAAACCTCATGCTTATCTAAGATTAAAGATTCCAAGTGGTTTAAGTGTTTTTTTTTAAACTGTTAAGAAACTTATGGTGTTGTACAGTATAAAGTATTGAGAAACTGATAGTGTAGTGAAATGTCGAGAACAGTACTTCTGCTGTAAAGGACTTGTTGTTGATCTGATGTTCGGACGCCCGTTGTTTTCTTCCAAAGTGAAATTTGACATCAGTGATCCGAAACACGTAGGAAAGAGGCCCACCAGTGACGTTGATCTGGTTTCTGATGTCATTTTTGAAAGTTAGAGTGATGTCATTTCCGGTGTTTTGAAGAATCCCTTCAACCTTCTAAAAAATACAACAAAAACTTATCGCCTTTCAAAGTAACAATCTTTATGTTTACTTTTTGAAGTAAATTCAGGATACGGAGTCTTATTACTCGTGATATATACGAACAAAGTGAATACAGATGCCCACGAAATCAATAACTTGTTGAAGTTAACTTTTTAATCGATATTATTATTCATACAGTAGAAAAAAATGTTTGCTTATTTTACTGAGGAGTCTATTATGGAAATAATATACATGTTCTGGTATTCAGAAGTATCAAATAGAAAACAAAATTGTAA